ATTATAAATACAAAAATAAAGGGGAACAAGGGAAAACTCATTGCTGAAATGACAGAAGCAGCGGAGCCTGGGTGGGGAAGAAGGGCAGTGGGAGAAGCAACTCGGAAATCATTATCTGTTGGTTAAAAACTGCCTGGGGTAAAATTGCAACTCGATTTTATAGCCTCCTATTATGACGAAAAGAAAAATTTACGACCCTCGCTTGAAAAGAGGGCTTGGGCCTTTTCTCACCGGTTTAAGAATAGGCAGCAGATGCCGTGACAGCGACCATTGTTCCCGGTAGACACAGGCGACCGGGCAACCTCGGCCCCGCGTGCGCCAGGCGGGTCCCCCAGCCTGGCGGGTTTTTACAACTCCTGTTGTCTCAGAGCAGCCCGTGCGCACCCTCGCCCCCTTGTCCCCTCGCCCACCCTCTCTGCGCGGTTTTTCTCTCTCTCTCTCTCTCTCTCTCTCTCTCTCTCTCTCTCTCTCTGCCGCACTGAGTAATTTTTCATAAGTGCAAACCTTTGCTGAACCAAAGGTCACCATCCAAGCCACTAACAACTTCTCGCCAGTGCAGTTCCAAATCAGGAAGCAAAGGGAACTATTTGTCAGCGGCCCTGACAGCTAAATTCATTAAGGATTTAAATCTGAAGAAATAAAAGTCGCCAAAATATTTACCTGCCTGCTGCGCTCCGCTCCGGTGCCCTCCAAGGGCTGTGGGTGGAGGCCGGGGGCACCGAGCAGGGCCCCCTTGGGCGGGTGATATTCTTGGGATCCCTGCACTTTCCAAGTCGAAGAGAGCCCTTTGCGTGGCAGATTAATGACGACTCCGTGTTTCTTAAGGGACGTGCTGAATTAATTATTTCACCAATCACGTGGTCGGGACTTGTAGAAATCTATTCTTATCATCTTCCTCGCACTTTGAAAATTCTCCGGGTTATGAAAGGCCCTCCCCCAGCAGCCTGCGAGCCCGGGCTGCCAGCCCAGCATGGGGGGCAGGGAGGGCTCCCCAACATGGCGGGCGAGAAGCTCGGTCTGCCTGCCGAAGGGCCCGATTTACTGTACTGTACTCAAGCTGCTGGGCTATGGACTCGCTTCCTCTTCATCCCAGCCCGTGATTCAATACATACAGCCGTATTGATGTATTGGTGGGCACAGGAGGAGCCATTAGCCAGAAGACAGGCAAAGAACAATCATAAAATGTGTCTGAATATTTAAACGTCTGTCTGCGCACTTATAAATACACATGTCCACGCGTCTGAGGCGAGCGCTTCCATATATTAAGGACACATGTCTGATTTTATGAATTCTGCTAATTTCCTGAGCAAGTGCCCCCACCCCCATCTACTTCGGAACTGCTGTTTTGGCCCCTTTCTAGGCGAGGCCAAAACCTGAAACCGCCCTCATGATAAAAATAGCACAGGACACTTTTTATAGTGGGGAATGGTTATTGGAGAGCGAGGGGGCGCGGGGGGGGGGGGGCAAGGAGAGGCAAGTGCTGGAGGTTCCCTGGGGCTGAGCTGCATGGGAAAAGTAGAAGGAACCCAAGATTGGAGGCCAGAGGGGTCAGGCCTGTGCAGCCCCAGCTTGGCCCAAAATTCAGCACCATACAACCTCTCTTAGAGTTGGAGTTGGGGAGAGATCTCTCACCCACGTATGTCACAGAAGCTGAAGGGGTCTGGGGCTGACTGGGGCCATGGAGAAAGCCAACCTGGAGCTTCCTTTTAGACCAGCAACTTGTTTTCCTTTCAAAAATAATACCCACCACCCAGCAGCCTGAATTCAACCCCAGGCTTCCCAATGCTCACAAAATATGGTGTTCAAATTGGCAGTATGTATGTAAGGGGAGGGTGTAATGATAGAATCACTAAGCTTTACACAGTTTAACCTTCATATGCAGGCACATTGAAGAAAATAAAAAATAGTTTATATTGCATGTTAACTTTCAGAAGACTCAATGAAGAATGCTTCTGTGGAGGCACCAAAAAGGAGGGAGATTTCACTATACTTTTTATTTCAAATATAGATCAATGAATTACATCCAAACTACAGGCAACAATTAGTATAAATAATACTTTAATCAGTGGCAGCAGAACATTGGTCAATTCTATTTAAAAAGCATCTTCTGTGAACAAACACCATGGGCTGACTGACAATGTAGTCTCTCAACAAAAGGCTGCAATGGATAAAGTGAGTTGGGTGACTGAGGAGCAATATCCTCAGCAAACACTTCATTCCCCCTAGTCACAACCCCAACACAGCTTAAAAAACAAAACAAAACAAAACACCAAAACAAACACTTCTGGCTCATATTTGGGTGAACAAATTGGAAACAAATAAAGCAAATGGGCACTGAGCCTTTCCACATCTAGCTTTCTCCAGAGCACGTTCCCAAATGGAAACTCATCTCCTTCCCTGCCAGAGGTGGTTGGGAGGCTCTGCTTCTTCCCTGCCCCACTCCTGTGGGCCCAAAAGGACGCTGGGGTCTAGTTGGGACCTCAGGGTAGTGGGCTGCCCTCTGAGCCATCCAGGCTCCATTAACATTTCAAAAGACAATCCCTGGAAGCTGAGGAGAGCTGAAGACTTATAAACAAAGAAGCTGTTTCTCTGATTAAGTTACTTTCCTAAGTAATGGGTCTATGTTTGAGAATGAGCTTTGATTTTCTTCATGAAAACACACCTCTTGGGTTTCTACTGGGGCAGGGGTGACGGCGGTTAAGTACTTTTGGCATTTGGTCTAAAGCTGGGGTAAGTAACCCGAATTTCTGGGAAGGGGGGAAATCTATATAATAATCTCTATAACATTCAGAATTGGGCAAAAGTAGGTTTACAGTTGTGAGCATGCAAAGCAGAATTTATCCTTGTATTATTAATTATTGTATTATTTATTTATATTACCTGTAAACCTACTTTTGCCCACTCCTGTATAGTAGTTGGATGTTGTGAAAATATATACTTCCCCACAGCCAAGGAGAAGTTAAATGTATTCACAGATTTGTGTTTTAAGAAAGAACCTTAACAACTTTCCAACTTGCCTAAGGATAACTGCTCTTTTCAAATGCTACATCCAAAGACTGCTCTCCATGTTAGAGGGGAAAAAAAAGAAGAGAAGGGTAGTTAGAGTCCAAAAGGTTAAGGGTTTAGAGGTCAGTCCTCCCGGCTGAAATACAGCTAATCGAATAGAAAATTTGTCCTCTGGATGAACCTGATTCTGCAATTTAGCCCCGAACTTCAGTAAAATACCTTTTCAGCTTCTCAACGTGAGGGCATCAGAAAAAAGACATCTTGACTATGTATGAACTCTGTGCTTTTTGTCATAGAAACAATGATGTGAATAATGCAGGAATATCCATCTTTAATATCCCGACGTGCCGATATTCAAGTATTACCATGTGCAAGTCTGAGAGCCAGGCTCACCCCAAGGAAGAACAAAGAGCTGTCCCCAGGGTCTAATACAAAAGACCAAGGCTTCGAAGATACTTTAGAGAAGTGGAATTTCAGTCTAGGAACTCCAGTGAATACCTGCCCTCAGCTCTGAGAAACACTGAACCAAAGAACACGGCTGCAGAGAAAATCCTTTCTTTCCCCTATCATTAAATGTATTTTTAATTACCACTGAAACCTTCTAAAGTGTTCTGAAACACTGAAAAAATAACCCCAATTCTGAGTCTCTCTTTCAAACTTACCCTTTCTCCCTCCCTCCTTTTGTCACTTTTCCATAGCTACAACCTGGGGTTTCTTTTTGGAGCCTGAGGCTTTGGGGTTTAAGCCTTGTTTCATTTGAGTTTATGAACTCTGGTCATTACCTTTGACTCTTTCCCCCTTATCCCTAAGGGTCAGCATTTTAGAAAAATGAGCTTTGAACCCCTCCCAGGCAAAGGCATAAGAAAAATGACTAATGAACATCTCTCCTGTTGTTTGAGAGTGACTCTTTTAAACCACTATTCTCAAGGCAAGAAAGAGGGCCTGAAAACTTTTGTACTTTTTCAATTTCTTCTTCTAACTAATGGGTTGAGAAAAACTTCCTTAAGATTTGTTTTAAAAATAAAAACTTCAGGGAAAAACCCCTAAGACCAACTTTTGTGGATTTCTAGATTCAATTAGTTTTTTCTTTCCTTTTTAGAGTAAGACTTTCTATACTTCCAACTTTCTCCCCACTGAACACCACCTCTCCCATATAGGCCATACACCATTTCCTATAAAATATTGCTATATGGGCTATTTGGGTATTTGGAATCCAGTTGGAACAGAAATTTTGGTTATTATCAAATGACCCAGAACATAGAGGTTTTGTTTTCTTTCCTCAGAAGGAAAATGTTGGACCATTTGTTTCTTTCCTTTAACAACCTTTAATACTGGTTGTAGCACAGTGCTGAAAAAAGCACATGTGAAAATATATTTTCAAGAACACAACTCAGAGTAGACCCTTTGCTTCCCTCTAGAAGGGTTAAGGGCTCTTTCACACATTTCCAGGGAATGGGGAGGAGGTAAGATTCAAAATGCTGGTTACACCCAGAAGTAAGTCCACACATCTCTGATTCTGCTCCCTGAAACTTGGCCCCTTTCACCATCCTAAGGTTTTTGGCATTAAGATGTCAGTTATTTCTGTACCCCATTCCCCAGCAAATAAATATTTAAGCAAATATAATCTAAACATAAAATAACCCGTTTCCACTTCCTTCTTAGACTCATTTCTTTGGGCATGGAGCCAGTGGGAACTACACACACACACACACACACACACACACGTGTGTGTGTGTGTGTGTGTGTGTGTGTGTGTTTCTTCATACTGTTAATTATATAGACAACCCAGAAAGTTCACAAATCCTGGCCCAGCTCTCCTGCTTCCACTGAAAGCACCTACCATAGGGGTGGCTAACCTGCTGCCTTAACTCCCCCACATTATTAAACCACAAGGATCCCTGGAGGGGTGGGGTGGGGGAGGATGTTCAAATTCACACTGGGATAAATTATGCATACAACCTTCATTTTGCAAATTCAAAATCCAACAGCAGAGATTTTCATGAGTTTAATGACTCACCAAGGTTTTATGTTCTCAGTAGCTCCTGCCATATGATAATATACTTAGAGAGAGAATCCCGCCCCCCTCCCACCCCCATACCCGCTCCAGGTAGGGGGCTGCCCTCGGGCAGGATGCTAACCTAGTCCGAGGGCGGCCTGCTGTTCCAGGTCCACCCTACAGTACCTTAGAGCCCAGCGAGGTGACAGCAGGCCCGGCCTGCCCTCGCAACTTCGGCTCAGCCGGGAGCGCAGGGAGGGATGGGCCCAGGGTCCCCACTTCTATAAGGTCGTCAGGTCCGTATGGTGGTCCTTGGCCAATGGCTGCAAATGTTGGCCGGGGGCAGCTGAGGACGAGCAGGAGGAGGAAGAGGAAGAGGACGACGAGGACCTGCCTTTGGTGTTGGGCAGCTTGTGGTCTTTTTTCCACTTCATCCTCCGGTTCTGGAACCAGATCTTGATCTGGCGCTCGGACAGACACAGGGTGTGAGCGATTTCAATCCGACGGCGCCGCGTCAGATACCTGTTAAAATGAAATTCCTTTTCCAGTTCTAGGACTTGCTGCCGGGTGTAGGCCGTCCGGGACCGCTTGGGCTCCCCGCCGGTGTAGTTGGGGTTCACTGAGAGATAAAACAGACATCACCGTCAGGTCACCGCCTGGCCACTAGTCAGGCCCCTGGCCAGCGCTCTCACTTCCTGGCGCGCCGGAGGCCCTCGGCCCTCGGCCCTCCCAGCGCTCCACGCCGGCTCTCCCTCCCCTCCCGCCCTCTCCCGGAGCACACATTCACTCCTACCCACATCCTCACACCAACTCACTCCCCAACGCTGGCAGGCAGGGATCCCCAACTGTGCTCTCAGCCCCCCACCTCCCCCGGCCCACCGAAAGCTCCGGAATTTCCAAGCATTTTGGAAAGCCCCTTTCCTCCACCTTGTACCCTCAGTTCTGAAAATGGAGTCCTCCCCCACCCCACCCCCATCTCCACCCCTTTTTTTGCCCACAGACAAGCAGCCAGCCGCGTGGTCCCAGCCTGCTCCCTCAGGTATAAAAATTTATGGAGAGAGTAACTGAGTGACCACTAAAGCCCCACACGCCCCCCAAGCACTCACAACCCCTCCCGGGGCCCAGGCCACTGGGCTAGAGTGAGGGCTAAGGTCGCTGGGCCCGCGCCTTACCAGAATTCACGTGCACCTTCTTCATCCATGGGTAGACCACAGCCGGCTGCTTGAGTGCCGTTCCCGGTGGCGGCTGCTTGGGGCCACCCGGCTGGCTGCAGGCCCGGGTGCCTGGCAGGGGCGCGGGTGGGGGCGCAGGGGGCGCTGGGCAGGGCTCTCCCGGGGCGCCGTAGTGGCCTCCAGGTTCCTGCGCGTGACCCCGCGTGGGCAGCACCGAGCCCGGACCAGGGCCGCCGCCTCCGAAGGTCTGCTCACCGAAGTCAGGCCGAGGGTAGAGCCCCGGGGGCTGGAAGTCAGCACCCTGTGCTCCGCTGCTGTAGTAGTCGGCTCCCTGCTCGCCTAGGTAGCCGCCCTGTAAATATTCCTCACACGGAGGGAACTTGGGGTCCACATACTTGGAGTTCACCATATACGAACTCATGGCCATTAATTTCAGAAGGTAGAAAATACTAATTTTTCTCGTGTTGTCTTTTTTTCTCCTTCCATTGGGCCCTCCTACTTGCTGTCAACTGAATAAAGTTGGCGGCCATGTGACCAGGCCAGCCAATAGCAAGGGAGCGAGTTTATCACCGGGTTGGTGAGCATCACATAATTTTCACAAATTTAACTAAATAACATACGTGTGATCAAGTGGCACATTCGAGGGTCCCCACGAGATGTTAATGCATTTCTAACCCCCAGCTTCCTCATTTCCCTGCAGATAATTCCAGCTTTTGTCTGACACTGACTTTGCTAACCTTGAGTGCCCTCTCCACTCATCTACCGGCCTGAAAACAGCCCCCCAAAGTGGGCACAGCTCAAGGGGGAATGAATCGCTGTTTTTGTTGGGGTGTAGGCACCAAACGGCAGGTGGGTGAGGCAGTTTCTGGCTTGGGCAGAGTACCCCAGCAGGCAGAGCTCCCGCCAGCCCAGCCGCGGGAACGGGGACTCTACCATACAAAGGCCGAGCCTGGCTTTGTCTTCGTCAGGGTCACCCAAAAGTTATCACAATCTGGCTGGCCTGAATCAATTTAGGCAATGAGTAACCGCCAAGCTTTCTGTGAGTGCCCAAGCTGGGGTGTTCCTAGCCAAAGCCGGGCCTTGCATGTTATGACAAGAGGTCCCCACTGCCTCAGCCCATGCAGCTGAGGGGTGTGCCAGGAAGATGGTGAGGGCACCCCACCCCACCCAAATGGACTCCAAAGGACTCTACACTCCTTTCCAGTTCACTTCCTTCTCACAGGACAGTCAAAGGCCAATGAGCCTCACTGGACACCTTCCAACCTCGTGCTCCTTGACAGCAGAGCTGGGGATACTTGGCCTCCCACCTCACTCCCCAGTTCCCCAAACCTAGCCCTTTGACCCTGAAATCATGCAACCAATTAGGGATTTACACAGGAGCCTCTGTATAAAGGTGAGGGGCTTCTTGAAGAAAAGGGTGCTTTGTGTAATCAGGCTCAGTCTATCCTCCTGGAATTCAATGGAATACAAGAGAAAGAGGCGACTGACCTACCCCGCTGCTTCCAGCCTCTCCTTCCGACTCAGGCTATTTTGGAGAAAAGTGAAGTTTTTGCATCGACCATATATTCCCCTAGAATCGAATCTGTGACTATGTGGATACCACACAAATTCGGTTCTACAGGGTATATATAGACAACGTTACTACTTCCAAGTTTCATCCAGATTGGGTACCCAGACCGCTGCCAGCCTTGGCCTTTTCTTCGGAGCCACCACCAGCCCGACATAGCCACGGGCATTTTCAGAGATGGTTCAGGTAGCTGGAAGGGCTTGGTAGCAATTTGCAGCAACGAGTTCCCCATCCTTGTACCAGGGCCCGGGTTACCAAGCAGCCAAGGGGCCAGGACAGTTTTCTTAGGGAAGAAAAAATAATTCATCCCAAAAATGGCGGCTTTATTATTCCCTCTTCTTCAAATCCAAATATCACCCCCCACCCTTATCAAGTGGTATTTTCCAGAAAGGAGCAAATGCCCTTGGTGGCAGAAGAAAGGCAAGAGGGGAATATCCTCCATCCATTATTTTTCCCACTGCCGGGGCAAGCCTCGCGTTTACCTTCCTGGGCCCTGAGCCCGGCTGGCCTCTCCATCCTGCTGTTGCTGCTGCAGACCCCCAAGGCAGTCGCTGCTTGCAGGCACCGAGCTGCCCTAGGTTGGGGCCAGTGCACTAATGGGGCAGGGCAGGGCGAGGGGTCATTTGAAATCATTTACAAACATATCACAAAGTTTCATTATTTTTGCTTTGCCGACAGCAGCACACAGGAGTACAAAAGTTCACGAATTGCGTGCCCGCCCCAGCGCTTCAGCACTGTCTGGGGCTCACCCCTCCGTTCAGGGCACCAAAAGCACAGCGCACTCAAGGCAGGGAAGAATTTCAGGGGCAGAGGGATGCCCGGGCTCTGGGATCCCTGACCATAGGTCAGAGGTATTAAAATGTTTTTTGGTTGTTTTGATTTTCCCCTCATGATTCAAAAATTAGTTTTGGCCTGGTGGGGCGGAACAGGGAGACTCCCCTCTGCCCCCCAGCCTGGCCAAATGGGCTGCCTGCTTCTACAATATACTTTGTACACTCACCCCACCCCATGCGTTGGTTCCAGTGCTTTGGCAATTTCGTAGGGATTTTCTGGTGCCAATTTTAACAAGAGTTCTGAGGCTGCCCTAAACCCCGTCCCTTGTCCCAGGGAGGCTCCCCCCAACTTCCCTTAATGCCAAGTGAGCCCACACACTTGCCATCTTGGGGACACTGGACCTAGGCTTTATCCAGACAAATTGGGGGAGCCTGCTGGGCCAGGTGGGGACACCACACAGTAAGAGTACACATTTTCATATTTGTTAGACGCTGTGACCTGCATTTCACCTTATTGCTCCACTTGTTCAGACAGGTCAAAGCCAATGAGTTATTGATGAACAAAAGCGTTAAATATTCACCTCCTGCACAACTGCTCATACAAATGCTTTTGATCTCTCCAGTTTTTGTGTTGTATTCAGCTACAGGGTGCCGAATGTGGGGTTTTCAAATAAGATGTATCAGCAGAGATAAGCACCCAAGAGCCAGGGCAGCGGCAGAAAGGGAGCAAGACAAGAGGGTCCTGGGAATACCAGATTTTCCAGCCTGGAGCCCAGAGCCCGGCTCACTTGAGCCAGCCTGGTTTGTAGAGGGAAACTATGTACTGGGTGAAATTTCCACTTCTTGGGGTAAGTGCAACCTCCAGGGAGTCGGCTAGACTGCCCTGCCTGGAGGGCAAAGAAACCTGGCCCAGAGTCAAGTCCCAGCTTCTCCGACACTAGAGAGAGGGCGTCTGTCTCATCAGAGAGGGAGGGTGCCTGATTCCTACAGCTCCCGCATATTCTATTCTCATTAAAATAAAAACCAACTCCGTTTTGCAATGAGGGAGGGAGGGGCCACTTTTTTTCCTTGACTCTCCCACCACTACCTTCATCTTAATGAGACAATCTTCCTGAAACTTCACAGGGACTCCTCAGATATGTACCTTTCTTCCCTGACACATACAACTCAGAAAGATCCAACTTCCCAGCTGAGCCCAGGACCCCAAGAATTTATGCTCCCACTTCACTCCCTCCCAACCCCCCCCAATATTTTCCTGCAACATCAGGGGTTCTAGCACAGAAATTCTCCAACTGAAGCTACAGAGAAGCAGAGGTGAAAGAAAAGGGCCCTATTCCTCCCTCCTCGTTCAGCCGGTGTCCCCAGCCCAGATCCCAAACCGCTGAGGCTGGGACGGGGGGGGAGGCAAGGAGGGACTTCCACTTTTATAAAGCTCGAAATTCGCAGCCCTTCCTGGAAGCATGCCCACTCAACACACCCTCTGTAGAGTGTTTTTTTTTTTTTTCGTCTCTTTTTCTTTCTTTTTATAAAAAATAAGAGAGGGTTGGGGCAGACAGGACCCGGTTAAGCTGGGCTGGGCTGCAGAGGGAGATGGCTTTGCCTTGGTGTTTGGCAGGTTAGTTCTAGCAGAAGGCGCAGCTATCGGCAACTTCATGGGGCGGGCTGCTAATTAACTGCAAGCTCTTAACAGAAGCGTACTCCGCAGCAGAGCTGCACCTGTGCGAGCTGGGACCCCGGGAAGGCCCGGAATGTCGGATGAGGCCCAAGAAGACACGGGTAAAAGTCCGCGGCACGTTCCCTTAGTTAGGTGACTGTGAACTAGGCCCCAAAAATCTTTCCAGGAGTTCAGCTTAGAGCCTCCACCTCCAAAGCAAAGCGAACTCCTCTCCCATCGCTAGGCCAGGGGAGGCAGGGCCTTTCTTTCACCCGCCCACTCCCCGGGCGCGGCCCTTGCCCACCACCTCTCCAGCTATCAACACCGCCTCTTGGCGATTCGGAAGAAATGGGAAGGTACTTACAGCGGCGGTCTCTCCTGGTCCTGAACCTGTTGCAATGAAAACGGGGGTCACTTAAATTCCACAGGATAATAAAGCAGAGATAGATGATACACAGAAAAATGACAAGGCCCAGACACCCCACCAATACCCAGACCTCCCTGCTTCGGGTGCCCGCCCCCAGGAACTGCGCCAAGTTCTCCGCGGAACGCAGAGCGGAGATCGCAGTCCTCAAGGACAGGCCCACGGAGTAGGAGACTATGGCCCACGTCACCTCCCCCACTCCTCGGACCCTTGGGCAAAACCTTACTGGTAGCTTGGCCCTATTCAGGCTGCTTGTAACAGGGTCTCCCCAGTGGGAACACGGGAAGCCAGGAGAAAATGGGCCTTTGTGTGTTTCCTTATGCAGAATCGGCTGGGTGGGAGCAAGTCCACTGGGGAGGGGGCAGTTGCTGCATCTGTCCCCAGCCCCAGCTTCCTGTCTGTCTGGCGCTGGGAGCAATTCAGCCCCCTTTTCCAGTTTCAGATTGGTTTCAAACTCCCCAACCCCAAACTAGTACCCCCAAAACCTGTCTTCTTCCCAACGAAGGACCAGGCAATGCTGGGATTTGCCTTCCCACCTATATGCTCCAATTCAAAACAAAGAGCAATTTCCAAGGGAAATGAGAACCCAAATGATAACCTAGGAGGAGGAAGAAAATCAATGGATTTCAAAGTAAATGCAATACTTTAGATTGTTATCCAGCTCTATGGATATGGCACTGTTTTGTCAGCATTGCTGCTGGAGAAACCACAAAGCAATCCTACAAAGCAGTGGTCCTCACAGAGACTAGTGTCCACCTTTTATTTTTCAGTCTCCTCTAGTCTTATTATAGGATGGCAGTCTTCTCTGAGAAATCTCAGAGGCCAAGCCATCTCCATCCTCATTCTTTCTTTTTCCACCTAGACTACCACTGCCTTATTTCACTTCTAAAACAGATGCTTCATATGGAGAAGAAAGAGACAGTAAGACCTTCTTGTGAAGTGGGAACCCTCAATTCCTAACTTTCTGTGTCCAGAGGGAGGGGAGAAAACCCAGATTCCCCTTCTATATGTTATTTTAGGTTTAGGTTAAAATTAAAATTAACTTTGATGGAACTTCTTCCCACCCCAGGAGGAAAAGAAAGGCAGAGAAATCCCCCACCCCTGGAGTTGTCCTGGAAAAAGTAGTAAATTACTTACTGGTTTTCTCTCCTAGTGGGCAGGGGAGCTGGGAGTAGAACTGCTCCTTCTGAACCCGGCGCTAGCTGGAGCCTCTCACTTTCCTATCGCTGCTCCAGGAACCAAGCATC